AAAGAAAGAAAGAAAGAAAGAAAGAAAGAAAGAAAGAAAGAAAGAAAATGCTAATGCTAAATGCAAAAAAGCTACTAAACTTTCAAGGGCCAGATCAGTACTTCTTCATGAGTGAATTAAAAATACTGCAGATATTGAATCTAATGATCACAATTCAGTTGTGGTTAGGCAAAAAATTGTAGAAGATTAAAAACCTCATAATGTCCATTACTGTGACTGTGAAAGATCAGGTCATTCCTTAAAACAGTTCCTAAGGATAAATTCTCTCTCTCTGTTTTTGTTTTTGTTTGGTTTTTGAGACAGGGTTTCTCTGTCTCTGTGTAACCTTGACTGTCCTGAAACTCACTATGTAGACGTGGCTAACCTTGAACTCAGAGATTCACCTGTCTCTGCCTTCCATGGACTGGGTTTAAAGGTGTGTGCCACCACTGCCTGGCATAAATTCTTCTCTAGTAATAATCCAGGGAGAAAGTTTTCTATGAAATGTAGGAGATGCAGAAGGAACTGACATAGTGCTCAAGAATAAAGGTCATCCAAAGAGATTTGAGGCAATCCCTTAATGTCAGAAAACTGACTAAGGGGTTTTGCTTAAGGCCTGACCAAAAACAAACAAACAAACAAACAAACAAACCCCATGAGCTATTCCTTTCCTGTTAGCCAAGTAAAAAAAACTGTTCTGGAAAGCAACTAGAAAAACTAAAGCCTGATAGGACAAACAGAGCTGCTCAAAACTTAAATAAACCACTTAACACCGATAGAGCAGCTCCTACGCATAAAACAGATTGTAGAGATACCAAAAAACAGACATTTTGGCAAACTACTGTAAATTATAAGAAACCAAAGTCAAAATTACAGTTAGATGTAACTGATATTGAAGGCTTAGTGGACACAGGATCAGATGTAGCAATTTCACAAGATTCCTGGGATCTAGCTTGGCTACTTCCAAGGGTACCTATATAGCTCCTAGGAATTGGGACACTGTCCAAGGTAAAACAAAGTCTAAAATGGACCTAAATACATAGGACTAGAAAGTCAAATAAAAAAAAATGAAGGCCATATGGAAAGGAGATCTATTCCAACAGTGGGAAGTACAAATTAACATTCCTCCAATCTCAGAGACAAGCTGTAAAAGAGAAGTTCCAAATACATACATACACAACGTTACCAAACACAGTTACAGATTGTCCAGGCTGACCATAAGCAGGATACAGTAGAGGCTGGCTCTTCAACTTTATATTGGAAAGCCACTGCTGGTAGAACACCAACTGCCCTACCAATAAGTGGCTAACTGACAAGCCTGTATGGGTAGAGCAATGGCCTATGATTTAAAAAAAAAAAAAAAAAATTCTAGGCAAAAGCAGCTGGAGACTCAGTATATAGAAGAGTCCACCAGCCCCTGGAATTCTCCCATATTTGTCATTAAAATGAAATCCGAAAAATGGAGGATGTTAACAGATCTGAGAGCAATCAATAAAGTCATTCAGCCTATGGGTTCCTTATAACCTGAAATCCCCTTAACTTTTTTATTACCTCAGGCATAGCTTATTATATTAATTGATTTAATAGATTGTGGTTTCACCATCACTTTGCATGAGCAAGATAGAGAAAAAAAAATCGCTTTAACAATGCCTACTTATAATAACTCTCAAACTGTTAAAAGGTGACATTGGAGGGTCTTGACACAAGGAATGTTAAAACAGTCCTACCTTGTGCCAATATTTTATACAACAGCCATTAGAAATAACTCAAAATTTCCTCAATCTATAATTTATCATTATATAGCTGATATCTTCAGATACAAATAACTTAGAAAAAATATTTGATGAAGAGAATTTAGCCTTGTTGGAGATTACAAATTGCTTCTAAAAGAAAAAATACAAAAGGGCCACAAACTGCGCCTGCTGCGTGCCCAAGGACAAGGCCATTAAGAAGCTCCTTATTCAGAACATTGCAGAAGCCACTGAAGCAAGTGTCATTGGTGCTTATGTACTTCAAACTCTATATCAAGCTGTATTACTTCGTGAGCTGTGTCATTCAAAGCAAGATAGTCAGGAATCAATCTCGTGAAGCCCACCATGATTCATACTGACTGGTGCTGCATCATAACCTCCATCAAAACCCATGTAAAGACAAAAGGCTGTGGTGGACAGAAGAACAGAAGGAGGACAAAAGAAAAAACATTTTGAACAAATGAAATGGAAACTATACTTAAAACAAAAAGAAGAGATTCCATTAATTATCTAGGATAAGATAGGTCTACAAAAAAAAATTCAGAAATGTGGTAGAAGCTTCAGGTTTCACAAGAAACACCAGACTAATAGCAAAGGTTTGAAGAAAGATATTTTTTTTCTATCACTTGGCAACAAGCCAAGGAAATTATTAAAAAAAAAA